TGTCAGTGAATTTGTAGATACATTTTAAAATCACCACACTCCTTAAGTGAACTACATAGTCTCAACTGTCTGAAGGAAGCAAAGGTCTGACACAGAAATCACTATAATCTGAAGATATTGTCAAAACCTGTTGGAACTCTTTGCTTTTATAAATGTGTAATAAGGGATAAAGGGATGTGCTGTTAGGCTCTTGGGAAATGAGATTCAAAAATCTTCAAATGTTCCAATGAATTTCTTTTGCCACAATTTTTTAAAAACACAGAGCAAATGTTTACAAGTATTTGTACAAGGGAAGCTTTAATAACTAATAAGAAAGTTGGAACTGTGAGGTTCTGTATCTTTCTTCCTTTCCAGTATCACTATCAACATTGCCTGCTCTGGCAGCAGCCCATCTCTCCATCTGCATGGATGATTGGAAAAGAAAACAATCCAGGAATATGTTGCTGTTTAGAATTGTAAAGATACTGATTTGCTCAATGCAGCTCTAACTTTAATAGTTTGGGAAAATCCTGAGGCTCATCAAGGCCAAACAACATGCCCAGCGATAACCCCAGAGGCAGGATAAGAGACACCCTTTGCCCCCCTGACTCCACAGCCTGAGCTCTTAATCACTAGACGGCACTGCCTCTCCTAAACACCAAACATAACTCAATATGCAGGAAAGAACTGAGGTGGCTTCTATTCCATTAAAAGGAAATCAATATCGTTGAACTGAACTCAAAGATAAGAACAAAGAATAGAGGACAGTTCAAATGAACCAAGAATAACAATGACCACTAGTTCTCAAAATAGAGATACTTTAAAAGACAAACATGAGCATAAGTTAGGAGGCTCCAAATTTCCCTGTCTGTTAACTATTAGGATTATAGAACAAATGCTTTCATCCTGAGGCGGGGATGGGGGTGGGCAAGATGGGGGGTGGGATAGAGCTGAGTGGACTGGGGGAAATGGAGCAAAACATGCTACCCAAACTAACACATTTAATGAGTGCTTTCTGTGAGCCAAACACAGTACAAGGGAATGCAATCCATGGGAGACTCAAAAGGCCTGGTGCCAGGCCTTCAAGGAGTTCAGTCTAGATGGGAGGAGAAAAATAGAAAGGAGTAAGAAAAACATGTAGTGATACAGAAAATGAAACAGGGTTATATGAAATGAGTGATGGCCTCAAGTTCCGTGGCATATCCACAAATCAAGGAGATGATGGTAAGGAGGATAAACCCATAGTAACGAGGATAGGCTGGCCTTAATCACTGCTCTTACTTCAATTAAAGACACTCTAATCAGGACAGATTTCAGGAACCATGAACACAAGACAAGCAATTTTCAAATATGAAACTGTGAAAAATTACAGGGCCTTCCAATGCAGTTGGAGATGAAGGAAAGTAAGACATGAGAAGGAAAACACCACAAACCTGTGTGCCTGGGCATGAGAAACACCAGGCTCACACAGTTGGTCATGAACCAGATATGTAATTTAAATCCCTCAACTTCTCTGAGTTGTGGCTTTGTTTCTCTAAACATCAGGCGACTGGATTATATAATCCCACCAGTCCCTCTCTAGCTCTAAGATTGGTGTTTCTAATGTTCCAAGGAGAGTCTCCTTTCCCTCTTAGATGCCATCCTCTCCCTGAATAGTTCTCTTCGGTCTCAGGCCCGAAGCCAAACCCTGCTCTCATCTCCTGGCTTACTTCAGATGACTGGATCATAGCCACTATAACCACCCAGATGATTCCTGTAGAAAGATCTGTCTCAGCTCAGCAACTTCCATGCTAAGGAGGGTGGTCCTTCCCAGCATGGTGACCCCAGGGAAACTTGCTCATAAGCTTGGATCAGGGCATAGTCCTGATCTCTTGGGTGACCTTGGATATGTCACATCTTGCCAAGACATCAAGAGGGTCTGCCCTGACTCTCTACAGGATTGGTAATGGGGACAAAATGAAGTGACTCATAAAACATTGTACAGTTACAGAGTATTTACAATGATGACTGTGACAACTGAAATCTCCAGATGCGGGACTGCTCTAGCCGGAAGTCTTGCCAGGACAGAGCTGTATGCTGTATTGCTCCCTCAGAGAAAACTTGATATAAAACAGACACAACATCAAGGCTGATGTGCTTCTGAATCTCTCCCCAGAGCAGCTAGTGGCTCTAAAACTAATAAGTTCCCAGCGGACTCTTTCTCTAAAGAAGCTTTTGATGTTACCACAAACTGACATTAATCTGTCCACATCAATCCCACTCAGATCACAAGTCTCTGGCACACACTGCCTTAGAAACTCTAACTGTACAACTTTCCTGTCACTTCCCACTTAGATCAACATTCATGCCACCAACTGTCCCTTATAAAATTCCAAGAAGTTAAGATCTCTATCTGCAATAATTGACTTCTGGACTCCCCAAGATAGCTTTATGGAACTGTAGGCACATAACACTGTTAAGGTATCCATGTGCCTAGACTTCCAAGAAACTGCCAATTTCATGCAATCTTCTTCTCAATAAAAGCAAAGATAAACCAAATGTGCAATGAAGTATGATAACTTTAGAAATTCATTTATTTATAAAAAGAAATAAGTATTTTTTTTCAGGTCAGATTCTTGTATCTTGATATTCAACTTGGAAAACATGGTTACTATAAACATTGCAAACTCTGGGTTAACCAGCATAGTCAGAGGATATAAAGCTGTATTTAATATTTAAATGTAGATGAAGATGGAGGAGGAGAGGCAACATCGCTAAACTCCTAATACATTCATGCAAGCAAGGTCTTATTAATTGTACTTTAACAGATGATGAAACTGACTCAAAGATGTCCAACAGTGAATAGTACAACAAAGGAATTCAACCCAAGTTTGCCTCACTCTGAAGTTCACTCTGCTTCATTCAGATCTCCGCTCAAAAGTAACCTCCTCACAGAAGTCTTCCTTGACCTCCACCACTTAAAATCTCCCACCCCTTGTGGAGAAAAAGGAACTCTTCTGCACTGTTGGTGGGAGTGCAAACTGGTCCAACCACTATGGAGAGCTGTGTGGAGATTTCTGGACCTACTAAACATAGAGCTTCCATAGGATCCAGCAATTCCACTCCTAGGTATTTACCCAAAGGACACAGAAACATCAATTCCAAAGAACAGCTGCACCCCTATGTTTATAGCAGCTCTATTTACAATAGCTAAGCTTTGGGAACAGCCCAAATGCCCAAAAATAGATGACTGGATCAAGAAGATGTGGTACATCTACACCATGGAATATTACTCAGCATTCAAAAAAAGATAAACATAAAGGACTGATCACAAAAATCTGCAAAGAGCTGATGAGACTCAGCAACAACAAAGAAAATAATCCAGTCAAAAAATGGGCAGAAGAGCTAAAAAGAAACTTCTCTGAAGAGGAAATGCAAATGGCCAACAGACATATGAAAAAATGTTCAACATCACTTGTCATCAGGGAAATGCAAATCAAAACTACCATGAGATACCATCTCACACCAGTGAGAATGGCACATATTAAAAAACTAGCAACAACAAATGTTGGCGAGGATGTGGAGAAAAAGGAACTCTTCTGCACTGTTGGTGGGAGTGCAAACTGGTCCAACCACTATGGAGAGCTGTGTGGAGATTTCTGGACCTACTAAACATAGAGCTTCCATATGATCCAGCAATTCCACTCCTAGGTATTTACCCAAAGGACACAGAAACATCAATTCCAAAGAGCACCTGCACCCCTATGTTTATAGCAGCACTGTTTACAATAGCTAAGCTTTGGAAACAACCCAAATGCCCAAAAATAGATGACTGGATCAAGAAGATGTGGTACATATACACCATGGAATATTACTCAGCATTCAAAAAAGATAAACACATGCAATTTGCAGCAACATGGATGGCGCTGGAAGGGATCATGCTCAGCGAAATAAGCCAAAAAGAAAAAGAAAAATACCGGATGGTCTCACTCATAGCAGGAATCTAGAAAACTTAAATAAGGGACCAGGAAAATGAATATAAGAAAGTGAAAATCAAAATCAACAAAAAAACTATGAACCAGAGACACTTTTTGGGGGTGGGGGGGCGGAGGGGAAGGATTGGGGTCAGAATGGGGTTTGCAATTGTATGGGGGAATATAAAAATAAAATTTAATATTAAAAAAAAAAAAGATAAACACATGCAATTTGCAGCAACATGGATGGCGCTGGAAGGGATCATGCTCAGTGAAACAAGCCAAAAGAAAAAGAAAAATACCGGATGGTCTCACTCATAGCAGGAATCTAGAAAACTTAAATAAGGGACCAGGAAAATGAATAACTATAAGAAAGTGAAAATCAAAATCAACAAAAAACTATGAACCAGAGACACTTTTGGGGGGTCGGGGGGCGGGAGGGGAGGGATTGGGGTCAGAATGGGGGGTTGCAATTGTATGGGGAATATAAAAATAAAATTTATTATTTAAAAAAAAAATCCCACCCTGACTCTCTCCTTTCTCTCCATCCACTCATTGTCCCTGTCTTTCCCCTTCCATAGCTTTATCTTCCTTCATAGAACTTGTTTGTTTAAAACATGTCTCCTTCATTAGAGTGCAGTGAGTAGAGATGTTGTTTTACACACTGCTTTATCTCCAATGTCTACAATAGGACCCCAGAAATGGTGTTCGCTAAATATTAAATGAATGAATAAAAAAAATAAGTGCATGTGTTTGTCATCATATCTCACTGGTGGGTATAGTAAGAAAGTGGTGACAATGTCAACTAGATTTATTGTGATGATTGTTTTGCAATGTCTACAAGTAGCAAAAAAACAAAACAAAACAAACCACTTTGTACTAATAGAATGCTATATATCAATTACACCTCAATAAAAATGTTTTAATTAAAAAAAAAAGAAAGTAGTTATGTACACATATAGAAATGTGTATATTCTACTTCATAACTATGTGTCCATCATCTGGGTGGTATAGTCATAAAGCTTCAGAATGGTTGTGGAATTAATTCATCAATATTTTTCTTAACAGCAAAAGAGCAGCCTCATCCTAGAAAGCAGAGGACACCCTTAAACTGTAGCAGAATGCTCTTGTCCATACTGATATTCTCTCTTTCCTAATAGTTCTACTAGAAGAATTAATGTCATGAATTATTTCCATGAAGAATCCAAGAATTTGAAGAGATTTTTCTTATTTTTTGCAATATGAAGGGACAATTCAATACTAACCAAACCTCCTAGATCTTTCAGACCATTTCTACAACCACTAATCCTCTCCTGACTCACCAACAAAAGCTACAATAACAAAGAAGCAAGGGATTCATTTATTATATATAACAGTCTCTTCAGTACTTCTAAAATAACTGCAATTTTTTGTCATTTAAATGCCTTTGCATTTAAAATCGGGTCTAATCCAAATCTTTCTAAATAGTTGGGAGATAAAACTAATAAAAATGCATTTAAACAAAAAAGAACAAAGAGGTTGTTGAACTTTTGTATATGAATTTAGGTCAACTAAGTTTATCTGAGACTTAATCATACACTGTCTCATAAAGTATTTGCCCAGGAAGGAAAAACATTTTAAAAATGATGTCTTCGGGCCTCCCTGGTGGCACAGGCAGTTGAACACCACACTGTGAAGCTGTCTGCAGCCTCTGAAGCGCGGGTTCCATCCTGGCCTGCCGGCTAGAATCCTATATGATGCAGCAGACCTCTCCTGTCTTGCCCTCTGCTCCCCTCAGCAGTGTATTTTGTCAGTCTGCCTGTTCTGTTTCCCGCTCTGTCTCTGGTGAATCCTCTTCACCCTCCCATGCATCTGGCCTGTACCCTGGTTCTTGTATAAATAAATAAATCTTTTTAAAAAAATTATGCCTTCAAGGTACATATAAAAATTATGTCTTCAAGGTACAAAATATGTCTTCAAGTGTACAAGGTACACTTTAATTCAGGTAGAAGGAGTGTTCAGCAAATTTTGATTCACTAATTATATATACCTTTCTCAGATACTGAGATCGAAGTCACTATCTGATATGCAGCTATATGGCTTAAAATGGAGGGGTAAACCATAGCTGCAAGAGGGGGGAAATCTGAGGGAGATAAGCTGCTCCTGATACTCATAAACAGAACAGTGTTACACAGACCATTTTGTGTTTTTGTAATTACCCAAATTCTCTTCTTTTGTCAGAACTCATTCTTAGTAACAGCTTGAGCAGTGTAGCAATCGTGCTCTGAAATGACTTGTAAACCACAGACACAAATATTTGGGCCAAGAATGTGGAATCCATTGCTGTCACATTCCATTATTTCTGGTGGAGCAATTCACTAACATTTTGGAATCTAGATCATAAATTATGCAGAGCCTCAGCAAAAGAACTGAGGACACAAACTGTTATAATAAAATCCCTGTTACTGGAGCCATAAAAACAGAACAAAGAAAAGCAGAAAAATCAGGGTTAGACTTTTCTGACATTCTTTGTCCACTACTGTTAATAGTTCCACAAATGAAAATACAGCATTTGGGAGACCACCAGACAACTCAAAATGACAAGATGGGCAAACTGTTATTCATAAACAATGATACCTCTGTGAATTCCCCAGAATAAAGTTAGCTTTTTGAAGAATTCTTGAATGTTGACACAAATTAAAGTGCCTACATATGTAACAGAGCCATCTGTACATTTCTGAAGGGGTGTTAAATGTCCTTCAACCATAGCACCCAGGCAATGGTCAAATTTTACGTTGGGTTTTATTATAAATTGTCAGAGGGAAAAAGAGATCTCTGTCACATGTAATCTGGAGCAACTCTTTCTGCATTCCATGAAAACTGATGGCAGAGCTGAACTAAAATTCCCTTTTCTTGATTCGAGCTTTATCTTGCAAATGAATGCCTCAAGCATGGTAACTGCTTGAAAGTCATTTGATAGGCGGATGGATGGAAGAATGAGTGAACAGAAAAAATGGACAAATGAATGAACAAACAATAAAACATTCTCTGCGAGTCAATATTCACATTTAGAAAAAGTAAAATACTTTAGAAATAAAATAAAGAACTGAAAACCCAGGTGGAACATGCATAGCAACTATTCCAAAACCCACTCCAAATTTGGCTCCAAGAATTTTTTCTTTTCAAGTATAACTTGGTGTTAGAGCACTGATATATAGAAATTCAGACTTAGATGTCTCTATATTTATAGCTATGTCTATATATCTCCCAAAAGGAATAACAAGTGTGAAACAAACATAGGTGAATATGCTTGTTATACAAGATGGCTCTTCTTTGACATTTGCTATGATTCCCTGCTTCAAGTTGCATCAAAAATGAGGGCAAACTGAGACAATGAAGCCCCAAGACAGAGATGAACAAAAAAATCAGACATGTACTTTATGAGCACACCACTGCTTCTGTAATTATTACAAACATATTTGTGAAAAAATAAAATGCTTTTCAAGATCGCATAGATGGTCTAAAATATTAAAACAGGAAAAAGGGGTTCAGTACAAGTTGAAACCATATAAGGGAAAAAAGCTATTTTTTCACTAACATAGGAGAAAACTTTTCTTCCAGCAAATCCCACAGCACAAAAGGAACTAGCTCCAATCATCTTTCTACGTCAGGAATCTTCAAGTTTTCTACAATGAAAAACTACCCTAAATTTCCCTAGAGCCTTGACATCACTAAGAGGAGGGAAAGAGAGTACAGAAGAAAAAAAATGAAAAGAGTCTAGTGGTGCCAGCAGTGCCCAAGGCAGGAGGTCTCAGTGCAACACTAGCCAGGCTTTCCTGAGCATGCACTGCATGCCACCATCATGCAAAGTGCTTTGCATATATTGTCTTATTGTAATCCTCACACAAGAGCTGCAATTCCCACCTGCACTCTGGAGTTCTAGCCTTCACTCCATTTTACTTATGAGGCAATTGAAACGTAAAGAGTTTTTGTAACTTTCCAAAACCACAGAGCTACAATGCAAACCCAGATCTCTCTGACACCAAGGATCAGGTTTTCTCTCTCTGTCACCACAGTCTCATTTCCTGCAGAAAGGTGTGACCTTACCAAGCTTAACAATGGAAGATGGTATGGAAATCTATCAGCTACACCTTCAAGTTTCTTCAAGACTATGATCTGAGATCACTGGTTAAAGTTTCAAAAGTCAAGGTTTACCATTACAAAACAACTGGCAGTTGTTGTCTTTCTTTGGTTAAAAAAAAAAAAACACACACACAACAAAAACTTCAGAAAACCAAAATTGCTGTGCTATGGTCATTTCTTACTCAAATCTGCATTTTACCCTTCAGCTAATTGAGATGAGTGGAGTCATCTGTAAACTTACTTCAAAAGACATAAATCTCTTAGTGTATAATAATAACAGTACGATTTACGGAGTAGTTGCTATGTGCTAAGTACCACTCATCAATTCACATGACATCAAAGATTAATGAGCCAAGCTGGGTTCTACTCAGCACTAGACATACAAATACATCAGATGGGGAGTCATAGCATCTCCAGGGGTGGGCGGTCTGAAGAGGGAGACAGCAAGAGAGCTGACCATGCAAGGCAGGGATCCCTACCATACAGGTAGGGATGTCCCTACCTGTCAAGGAAAGAGTACTGCAAGGGTGAAGAACAGTATTGGTGTGGAATGAAAAGCTGCTTAGAGGGGGTGTCTCCTTACAACACCTCAGGATGGAACCCGAGGGTGAGAAAGGTTAAGTAATGCAAAGGTACACAGCTATAAAGTGGGCTGAGCCCAAGTTGACCTCAGCTCAAAGCCATACTTTGTCCATCACCTCCTGCAACCTCACGGGAATATATCCTCCTTAAAGTTGCTCCCATAGGATTATCTTTGTCTTACAGGGAAAACAAAACAAAACAAAACAAAACTTCTAGGTTCTACAGAACTTAGGTTCACACAAACTTATAGGTTCTCAGTAGAGTCACACAGATGTAACACTATTTGTTTAATATTTAACAATGACTGAAAAGTCAATTTCCCATTTACCTTCTCATTTTGGGTCCAATATTATTTTACTTATTTTTTGCATGTCAGAAAACTGAGGCATAGGAGGGGAACGATTTACCAACTACGGGTCTATGAATGTCAAATTTCCAGTCCTGCCATGTCTGAATCACTGAATATTAGCTATCACACCTGCCTGAGGTTATCTTTTCTTGGAATTCAAATAACTTTACCCCAAAATTCAGTGAACAGTGGTGGCAATTAGAATCTGGGGTAATTTTTCCCTAGTCAGTGTTTGAATTGGGTATGTTTTACTGGTATCTTTCATTAGAAATGTTTGTCATAAGGATGCTGGTTAGTGATAATAGAGTTTGTCAGCAAGAGACTAAGATCAGAAATTATGGCACCTAGATGGGAGAATAGAATACCCTCGCCTCTGTCACCACAACAATCAACAATTAAACAGCAATCCATGAACAAAAACAGCTCTGGGAGAGCAAGAGACTACTTAAATTTCAACAATGCAGTAAAACCCAAAACTTGAGAATAATCAAACAAAAAGAGAAGAAACAACAGCTTCAATCTGCCTGCACTGTTCCATTCCCTGAGCCAACATTGCTGGGTGACAAGAAGTAACTCTCTAATGACAAAGAGTTGCCCACTGGGAAAGGAAGAGCAGAGAGAGAAACCATTTCCAAACACCCCTTTGGTACATCACATGGAGAACTGCTTTGGTTTTACTCTACCAGACACCAGCAGAGCTGAGACATACAGAGAAAGCTAAGAACAAGGAGGAAAAGCAGGGGCTACCGTATCAGTCATGTAATAGGAGCATCTATGAGCCCCAGTGACCAGCACTAAAGATGACTCCAGTGCTTTTGCCACAGAAGATACCAACTGCTAGCAGAGCTGCCATGGATCCTCTTCAGATTTCAGATCAACAGTTTTCACCCCATGGATATTCACATGTGCTGCTGCCAGCTGCCTAAACCCCCTTCTACTCCCTTGCCAAAGCCTAGGAACTGCACAGGAAGCCAGCCCAGGTCTCTACAGCTGTGCAAAAGCAAGGGGCCAGCCTAGACTACCACAGCTGACACCCACCACAATGCATACACTCAGGGTTAGCCCCACCAGCCATCCATGTACGTACCCCTAGCCGAACCTTTCACTGATCTCCACTGCTGTGCACACAACCAGAGGGAGACAGTGCAGCCATGGAGAACACACCAACAGCCAGTGCCCCTGCAGCTGCTTGTGGGTTGATATTAGATTTTGTCCCATGATCTGGCTTGCATCACTGTGCTCATGTGTAGCTATTCCCTCCAAATGTGTGCCTATAAGCCTGGGACTGCTCCATATCACCAGCCTCCATTGCCATAAACCTATAGAAAGACCCAATAACAGTAGCTACGGTTGTACACACTGATAGTAAAGACCCTTGCAGTTGTCAGTGTGTGCACAGTTGACCTCAGCTTTTGCTGCCGGCCTTAGCCCCATTACTACAGATGC